GTCCCTCCATCCCTTGTCCCCAGTCCCTCTCCAGCTCTCCTGGAGCCCCTTTAGCCCCAAAAGGGGCTCTGAGCTCTCCCTGGATCCTTCTCTTGTCCAGGTGAGCACCCCCAGCTCTCCCAGCCTGGCTCCAGAGCAGAGGGGCTCCAGCCTTCAGACCATCTCTGGAGCCTCCTCCCAAACCACTCCAACGGCTCCATTTCTTTCTTGGGCTGGGGCCTGGAGCTGGATGCAGCACTCCAGGTGGGAGCAAAAGCCCAGAATCCCCGGTCCCTGCTGCGGAGAGGCTTTTCCCACTCACTTGGGTTTCTCCAAGGGGTCAGGCTCATTTCGGGCCAGCCCTGCGGGGGATTTCTCGGCCTCCTCCGCTGTCAGAAGGTGCAGCTCAGCCTCGACTTTGCCCTGCAAGGAGCAGAGATGGGTGCTGAGGCCTGGGATTCTCCCCAGTTTTCACCCCCATCCAGAAAGGTCCCGAGGCAGTGGAGCCCTATGGGAGATGGAGGGTTTCCACAAAGATCACCATCCCCAGGAGGCAAACCCTCCCTTTCCCCCATCCTTACGGTGAYCTCCAGCTCGTCGTTCTCATCTCTGGCCACGAATGGCCACCAGCCCTTGACCCGCTTCTGCTTGAAGATGGAGATCATGGGCAGCTCGGCCTCGTTGGTCACCATCTCCAGGCTGCACAGTTTGGATGTCTTGGCTCCCCGGGGGAAGCGGTTCAGGTCCAGCTCGATGGCTCCTGGCAGGACAAAGGGGAGCACAGAGGTTGGCACCCCAAAAAGGCCCTGCCCTAGGCTGGAGAGGGGCTGGGCCGGCATCTCCTGCCCTGAGGAGCAGCTTTGAGCCAGCTCTGGGTAGGAAAATTGTGGGGGTCTTGGCTACAGAGCGGTGGAGTAAAGAGATCTCAGAATCATGGGATCATGAATGTTGGGAAAAAGTTCTGAGAATTTCTGAGTCCAACCTGTGCCCAATCCCCACCGTGTCCCCAGCCCAGAGCACTCAGTGTCACCTCCAGCCCTTCCTGGGACACCTCCAGGGATGGGCACTCCAAACCTCCCTGGGCAGCCCTGCCAATGCCTGACCACCCTTTCCAGGCCGAAATTCCTCCTGGTGCCCACCCTGAGCCTGCCCTGGCCCAGCCTGAGGCCGTTCCCTCTCCTCCTGTCCCTGTTCCCTGGAGCAGAGCCCGACGCCCCCCGGCTGCCCCCTCCTGTCAGGGAGCTGTGCAGAGCCAAAAGGTCCTCCCAGAGCCTCCTTTGCTCCAGGCTGAGCCCCTTTCCCAGCTCCCTCAGCCACTCCTGGGGCTCCAGCCCCTTCCCCAGCTCCGTTCCCTGCCCTGGACATGCTCCAGCCCCTCCAGGGCTCTCTCGTCAGGAGGGGCCCAGAGCTGCCCCCAGCACTGGAGGTGCCCCAGCAGTGCCAGCACAGGGGACGGGCACTGCCCTGGCCCTGCTGCCACCCCAGAGCTGGCACAGCCCAGGGGCCAGTGGCCTCTTGTCCACCTGGGCACCCCTGGGCTCATGTCC